TAAGGACTTTCACTTTGTCTGATTGTATCCTGTTTTGTCCTGTTAGACTGTTTTCTCTTGGAGGTCTGCTCTTTTCTGAAAAGGAAATGAAGGGCAAGCAGATCTGATGAAGAGGAGAGGTGTGGGGATCTAGGAGGAGTGGAGGGAGGAGGAACTGATAGGGATGTATTACACAAGAGAAGAATCTATTATATTTACCTGTGTATCTTTAAAATACCCTCCCTTTTAGCTGGGTAGTAGTGGCACACACCTTTAATCTCAGCACTCAGGGAGGCAGAGGCAGTTGGATCTCTATGAGTTTAAGGCCAGTCTGATCTATGGAGTGAGATACACAGATGTTGAAAGGAAGCCATCAGTTTCTTTCCCAGCCACCCGGCAGCTCAGACCCAAAATTATCACACAGAAACTATATTATTTAACTCATTGCTTGGACCATTAGCTCTAGTTTCTTATTGACTAGCTCTTATATTTTAATTTAACCCATTTCTAGAAATCTGTGTATCACCATGAGGTTGTGGCCGACCAGCAAAGTTTCAGCATGCCTGTCTCCGGCAGAGGCTCCATGGCTTCTCTGAACTCTGCCCTTCTTTCTCCCAACATTCAGTTTAGTTTTCACCACCTAGTTCTGTTCTACGCTATCAGGCCAAGCAGTTTTCTTTATTCATTAATGGTAATCACAGCATACAGAAAGGAATCACACATCACACAGACCCTCCCTTTTGAATAGGGCAGTCTAGTTCTCAGTCCATTGCATGTGATCTGTAGTCATTCACCTAGTTTGTTGGACCACATGGTGGGATTAGACCATACACAGCCTTACTTATTCCCCACCCCCAGAGCTGTCTCTTCAGTTCACCAAGTTATAAGAATACTCAGACAACCTTGTGTCTGCATGTGTCTGTTTTAGAAGCTGGAAGGATAAAGTGACCCCAAAGTAAGAACAGGGAAGGAAAATTTTTAAATGAAGAGAAAATTAGCAAACATGGAAGTACAAAACCACCACAACAATGATAATAATAATAATAATAATAATAATAATAATAATAATAATAATAATAAATCCTAGTTAAACCCAAAGGTGATTCTTTGAAAGCATCGGTGATATTTGCAATAATCTCACTAGACTGTCTTATCTAACTGCTCCCCTCACACCCACCAACCAACTAACTGAACAAAACAACAACAAAAAAGGTGTTTTAAATATCAGGGAAAGAGCCACCATAGTAGACTTCACAGGTTTTAAAGGAACAATGAACATGAAGTTGGGTGGGTAGGGAGGTGGGGGAGGATTTGGCAGAATTTGGGGGGAAAGAAAAGAATATGAGCAAAATATATTGTAAGAAATTCTCTAAGAATAAATAAAAAAATTATTTTTAAAAGATAAGTAGCTATTATGGTACTTCTTGCCCATTGAATTTGACAGCAAAAACAAAATAGATGAAGTCCTTAATAGTTACAAATCACCAAAACTTGTATAAAAATTGAATTACATTATATGTACTTAAAATGATGAATTTAGATATTGTAATCAAGAAAATTATGGGCACATATGACTTCAGTGGAGAGCTCTATCAGTCATTTAGGGGGGAAATTGTAATAATCCTCTATGAACTGCTTCAGGAAGGACCACATTCCAGGTAACTAAATAAGGCCAATATTACCAATTTCTCATAAGAAAAAGTTCACAAAAATTTACTATAGGGTGCTATGTCCCATGGGTACATGGGCAAAATATGTTAAAGTCACAGATTAATTATTATTTTACTGGTATGCAAACTTTGGTAATATTGGTATGCAAATGAGTACACAAATTAAACATATACTATGTTATGAATTTGGAGACATTGAAACCATTGCTCACTTAAATTGTTCATATATAGCTTTCTATGTGTGTGTGTGTGTGCGCACACAAGTGTGTTCAGTTTGTGTGTGTGCATGCATGTGTCTGCATGTGTGTGTGTGCAAGCTAAGACCACAAAATGAATTATACATTTAAAAAATTCAGCATTCTTCATTATCAAACATAAACAAAGCATACATTAGTAGATCTAAATCAGAAACCTATAAAGAGACAACACATAGTGGGTACTTGGACTTTATACATGAGTCATTTGATTTAATATTAAAAATAACTACAAAATTCATAATGTAAACCAAAGACAAAAACAAACAAATTGTGTTAATATATGTGCAAAAGTGTTTATTTTATTGATTTTTTTGTGAAAATTTAATACTCTTTTCTCACAAAAGTCTCATTCAAAGAAGGAAACTTCCTGTTTCAGTGAGTGCCTGTTGAAAACCTCTAGCTATTATCATACGATGAGTACCAATGGATGGATGACAGCTTTCCATTCTGATCAGAAACAAGGCAGAAACATCAGCTCTCAATATTTGCATTCCACCCGGGACCATTGCCAGCACCACATGGTCAGGAAATACATAAAAGAGATACAGAGCAAACACACGATAGTAAAATTGCCTATTTGTATCTAGTATAATTCTGTAAATTATGATTCGATTCATTTGCCCAAATGAGTAGCATTAGTATTCGTATAGACGTTTGAACACTAAACCACTTTAAATGATAAACTTTCATTAACCCACGAAACATTTAGAATCAAAGTTTTGAAAGTATATTCAAGACACATGTACTTGAAAATTTCAAAACACGACTTAGGATGTTAAAAAGGTAAATTTCTGAGTCGCAGTTTGTTTCTGGAATGGAAGTTGCAGTATTGCTCAGACATCGGGTTCCCCCATGTTAGTTTGTAGACTCAACCTACTTGCAGACAAAGTCCCTATTATCTCTTTTATAGCAGTAGAAATCGCTGCATTAGTGCTGTGCACTTTATAGAATCAAACATACTCTCATGATCCAACCTGGTAATTGTGATCCTGAGTCCCAAAGATCGGAAAAGTTATGTACATGCAAATACCTGTGAATAGATGTTCATAACAGATGTTAAGACTCGTCCAAGCTTGGAAGTAAGAAGGAGGCTTAAAAGAATCAGTGACTGCCAGAGACTGGGGTTGAAAGATGAGAAGGAAGATGAGTTGGCAAAGTAGGGAGTAATTTTAGAGTAATGAAATGACCCAACGTAGCATATTGTCCAAATCCACAATCATGTGTGGTAGCAACCTAATATGTATGTGCTGTGCAGTCTGAGTGATGAATGAGAACCTGGGTCCATCAGTTGTAACAAGGTCACCTTGATGAGGAAGTTGGAAATAGAGGACACACACACACACACGCACACGCACACGCACATGCACATGCACACAGACTCCTTTTAACTTTTGATTAATTTCTATATGAACCTAAAACATAAAGTAAAAAGTCCAGCTTTATCAATAAAAACATTTTTATGCATGCAGTTTACACAAAACTGCAAAAGTCCTAGAATAGCAAAGTGTTTTGCTTTGTGAAACTAGTATAGGATTTATATTGCCTAACTTTGAAGATTGTTCTAAAGCTGTAGTTGGAAGCTATGACAGAGTTAAAGATATATATGCATATATTCCACACAGTGAGCTAATTTGGGGCGGGGCGAAGAGACCAAAGTCTTCAGGTGAGGAAATAATGCCATTCCTATCAAATGTTGCCTCTATGAGTATGTGTGTGGGGGGGGAGAAGGACACAGAGAGAGAGAGAACCCTTACATAAACTTTTTTTTTTTTTTTGTCCACAGACAGCACTGCAATATATTTGAAAGAAACTACAGATCTAAAAGTAGAAGCTTAGGCATGCCTCTAGAAGCGTTCCTGATGAAGGAAGAATCTTGGTGTTGATTCTCATCAATCCCTTAGGAGAGTTACTCCCTATTCTACTGAAAGCAAATTCATTGAAAATACTGTAATTTCTATGTAGCATCTTTAAAATGCATACATATTAACTATAAACTAAAAAGGAAAATAATCCACATGCATACCTGTATTACTGCAATATGGAAACTTATGCATAAACTTCCTTAGTATGCAAAGCAGAACATACTAACACAAAGACTCCCATATCATATAGAGTTGCAAACAGTCATTTCCAAGTCATTTCCAAGAGTCACGGATATTAGTGAAGTAGAAATCCACAAAACATTGTCTCAGTTGGCTGAATTGTTGAATCTTATAAAATTAGTAAATGCAAATTTTTATTTTCAAACTGCATTCATATTTCTAATATAAAACAACGCTTTTTTTTGAAAATACCTACAGGATTCGCCCATGTCTTTAATCCCAATCCTTGACAGGCAAATACAAGCACATCTCTTAATTCCAGCCCATAGTGGGATCCTATTTCAAATACACACACACAGAAAGGGGGGGGAGGAGAGGGAGAGGGAGGAGGAGAGGGAGAGAAGAGAGAGGGGCACATTTACGAGATCAAGAGGAGGGCATCCTGATCCCATGGTACACTGATGCAAAGAATATCCTTCTAAAACCTATTAAGTTGCTATTTGAGGTCTTACGGAGAGCCATTGGTCTTGACCTTATCATTAAAAACCTGGTATGGAGAGGCCATCTGAACCCAGTGACATAAGAACAAAATGCTGTTCTCTTGAGTTAAAGGGAAGAAGTCGCCATGATGGAAAAAGAGAAATCATCGCAGACACTTCATCCCTTTTTAATAACATCCCCCGAGTACAGGGACACCTTCCAGTCAGTGGAGTGATGAGAAACATTTCAGTAGAACTGAGACAGCTTTTGTTGGCCACCCCCTGCTGCAGCCTTGACAGTCACCTCCCAAGAGGGGCTTCCCTACAGGCAACCTCAATTTCCTATCTCCTTAGCACCCTAGCCTTGGGACAGTCCAGGGTCACCTCGACCCGGGGCAGCTGCACACAGTTTTGCCAGGACTTTGTGAATAGCAAAAGTTTCTAACTGTATGGCTTTCTGGGAGATAATGTTTTCCATCTGGAGGGATTTCGCAGACCCTAGAGTGGCTTGGTGTCAATTACTTTCTTAATGCTAAAGAAGTTTGCATAAGTCGCGATAAGGCGTGATTTCCCCCGACCAAGAAAACACTCAGAGGAAATGTCCTTTCAACCAAGGACCCTTTAAAGGCCCAGGCCTGGAAAGGGGTGGGGACTGTCCTTTCTCCCCCACCCTTGGGCGGTGGCGGGGCAGAGCTGGGGAGGGCTGTCTCCTCCCCCTCCCCCTTTACCCCCACAGCTGCTCACTCCAGCCTGGGCGGACGGGAGGCAGCAACTTCGCGAGCTCCCGAGGAGCAGATCTGCTCCGGCCACGATGCCAGCGGCGGCCGGGGTCCTCCTGCTCCTGCTCTGGGGGACACTCGAAGTCTCCCAAGCACAGCGATCACAGCAGAGGCGACAGTCCGCAGTGCATCAACAGAGAGGTACCGTTCAGGGCGTCCTTTCCTGGGACTGCTGCTCCTAACTGACTTGAGCTGGCGATAGGCGGCTGGCTGGGGACCACTTTTTTGTTTTACTTTAGGGCGTATGCTTTGCTTCTAGCAAGGGACGGGAACTTCTGCAAATTCAGGGTCAGATTCCCTGAGTGGGAGGTGCAGGGGAATTACCTCCAGCAGAAGGGACACCAAGCGCTTTTTGCTATTTTTCGCGCTCTAAGTCCTGGAAACTGGTATATGGAAAACTTTTCTAAAGTCCTAGGGCAGGCTTTTTCCAATTGAGAGAAAACGTTTCATCAAATTGGATTCCATTCCTGCAGAGAAAGGCTTCCCTGACCTGTAGTTTATCTTAGACCTTTGAGTTAAGTACTTTTTTTAACTTTAGGATCATGTTTCCAGTTATTTCTATAAGTAGTTTAGTATATGAGTAACACATTCATTCTCACAGTAGGAAAACCTCCTCTCGCTTAAAATATGGACTAGACCTCTGTGTGTTTGAAGACTCAGGGGATCAGAGACCGGTCAGAGGCTTTGTGAAGCAACTGCATTCATTACAACTAAATCACTCTTTCCAGCACATCTTAATGTTCTTGTGCACATCTTTCTGTAAAGCTTGGGAGTCTGAAGAGTTATCAGAATTTTTACAAGATGCTTACACACAGCACCGAAAAACATAGTTTGTAACAAAACATTGATCCAGGACACATTTCCCAGAGCTGACAAACATGAATCAAGGTAAAAAGCATTTTTGAAACAAGTGAACTTTATTTCAAAGTAAAATCTACAGGAAAAAAGCTTTGAAAAGTTGGAGGAGGGCGAATCTGTTTTCAAATACAACTTTCTGTTTATCAATTAGTGGTGATCAAGCCATGCCTGGTAGTTCTCGTGTTCTTGTTCTCAGCAGTTTCCACGCTGCTGTTTAAGAAGGTATGAACAGATACCCTAAGATCTTCACTGGAGCCTCTGATTATAGTTCCGAGAATAAAAGTGACTTCCAGTTTCTCTAGATAACTTCCTTCTATTTTGGCAGAGGTGAAATGAGGTCAATGTGGTATAAATAATAGAATTACTTGAGACTGTGCTTTGGGGAAAGCATGGTTGGCTGCTGGTTTGAAAATGCTACATTTAACTTTTTTTCCTTTCTTCAACTGTGATTAGCAACAGGTGGGTTACTTCAATACTATTGGGCCTTAGGGGAGATGGGCTGGGTCTGTGAACTCTCCTCCACTTAGAATAAGGCAGAGCTTCAACAGTGTAGTCAGCAGCCGAGTTCCTGGGAATTTTCTCTACACACACATATATGTATTCTCTCCCCTGCTTTCTTCTTACATCTTTTTATTTATTTTCTTGTGGCAGGGTGCGCACACAACGGTGGCATATGTGTGGTAGTGGTCAGAGCTCAGTTTGGAGAGGTCAGAACTTTCACCATCCAGATTCTGGGTATAAAATTTATATCATCAGGCTTAGGCAAGTGCCCTTACCCAAGGATCCATCCTTCTGGCTTTGTTGATGTCTTTGGTATAGTCGTTTGTTATAGTTATTGCTATATATTTGGAGATTGGCTGCAGGATAAGTGATTTAAATTTGCTAAATAAAAGTATATTTAAAATATATTTTATGATGTCTCAAATTAGTGTACGTGCCTTATAATTTAATATACTTATGAAGAAATCGTATAACAATTATAAGATCTATTTTCATAGTCAGTTATCTTTATCGCCATAGGACTAATTTAAAATACAAGGCGTGGAATAGTAGCATCCAAAGTTCTCATAACAGATGAGAGTATTGCCATTTTCAGAAACTAAACTTATAGCCAGTATTGTTTAAGCTCACATTTCCTTTCCAGGGGGTCACGGTCTCTTTCCTTTCCTTTTATAAGGCTGGTTTCCTTTTGATATTGCCTATCAGTAAGGTCACTGAATATGGTTAGACAAAAAGTGTGTTCTTGGCTACCATCAACTTTTCTGATTTTAATTATATGTTCCAGCAATGACCTTCATGTCCTGGCACTAACTGTGAAGGATTTCTGTTTTCTGTTATAGACCAGTACTGGCTTATTAAGTATGTTGACATGCAGTGTATTTAGACTTTGTAACACAGTGATTCTCTACCTGTGAGTCTCGACATCTTTGGGAAGTCGAAATACCCTTTCACAGGGGTCGTATAACAGACATCTTGCATATCAGATATTACATTATGATTCATAACTGTAGCAAAATTGCAGTTATGAAATAGCAATAAGAGTAATTTTCTGGTTGTGGATTATTACACCCTTGAGGAACTATATTAAAGTGTCACAGCATTAGGAAGGTTGGAAACCACTGCCATAGCTAAATTAGAACCCTAACCAGGTTTGATTTATTTGCCTCTCCTTTTTATTGAAAACATTGCAACTTTCTATAGAATACTTAATAATGGTGTGGATGTCAGTGATTTGATAAGGTTGATTTTATAAAGAAAAGAATTCACTATCCTGTTAATATAAAAGATAGAGTGATTGAAGCAAAGTGAATCTACCTTTCACAGCAATAAATAAAATGCTCTCTGATATTTAGGTGATTAATATACAGAAGTGGAAGGATAACAGTATGGATTCTTCAACTCAGGGATAAATAGTTTCCCAGGAATATTGGACAGTGAGTGAAATCAATCTCATCATATGACAGTTCTCTTATGCTCCCTGTATAGATGAAAAACATACAATTTAAGTTGTCAGAACTTCAGTCAGTCTGAAGTCAGTCTGTTGGTCTAAATTTGGTTCATGGTAAATAACAGGTCCAGACATTTCAGAGATCACCACACCTGGATCATGGAGCCTGCAGGAAATCAGTGTATTATTCATATCCAGATGTTAAATGATTCATTCTCTTCTGGAAATGTACTGTGCCCTTATAAATGTGCAGGAGTGAGGATGACAATACCGTTGTGAATTGCAGCAGTTTTAGAGTGAATATATAGTTTGGACTGTGGCAGAAAGGACAGCATTCGTCTACATCCACATAGAAACACAAATTAGCACAGTTGAGTACATGACTGATAAACTCACAGGCAGTGGGGCAGTGGTTAAGGATTTGGAAAGATGTTCATGGGAGACACAGTCCATGAGAAGAGATTTTATTGAAGAAGGGAAAGGAAAGGGAATATAAGACATGTTCAGACCTGAAAAGGATTGAGAGGGTCTTTCTGAATTTGGTCCTTAGATGAATGTGAGAAGTAGGAAGGGTCTACTCCAACACAAAGAGGAATCCAGCTCCGTTTGCCTTGCTACCCCTACCACTCATTCCAAACACTTGGGCAATAACGAGGAGCTCCTTGTCTCTGAAATGTCCACCTGATGATAAAATGCACAGCTGGCCAGGTGTCCCTGAGGAGGAGATGCTATGCAGAAAGGAAGTTGCAACATGTGATGTTTTCAGTTCCAAGATTCTGGAATTATAATTCGTTGGTTTTGGAGTGACTATGTGTCTCTCAATCTTTGGATTCTCAAAAATGTCAACAAAATGTTACATGTGTTTAAATGTGTATTTAGATGCCTTCTGAAATTTAAAATAAAAACATGTTTTAGACAAACCTTGCTCATTGCTGGCAAAAATACTTAAACTATTGGTAAGGCAATTTCCCCATTACTGACAATCACATGATTTTAAAACACTGTGTGTTATAAAATGTGAGAATAGTTTATTAATGACCATAAAGATATTGTTATGGGATTTATTGTGGTTATAAACCTAAATTTATTTTTAACCTTTGTTTTGCCATTTTTATGACTTGATAGGTTATTTATTGTTTATTGGCATACAGTTTTGTAAAAATTCTTCAGAAAAGATAAAACTGAGAATAAGAATATGTTTAAAGTTGACTATGATTTATAGAGCAGAGAAAATAAAGTTGATATAAACACTTCCAATTTCCCATATAAGTGTATGAAGATTTCAGTGTAGAGCCTTGAAGTCATTTTCATCCAGGGTACCATGCAAATTACTGAATTACATCTATATAAAGGACGTTGATCATTAAGAAGCAAAAATTGGGCATTCTTTGCCCATTCTCCTTTAGCTCACTCTTTGACACCTTTAACTATGGTCATTGTAAAGCCCAACGAGGTAACCCAAGGGCTCTAGCCAAGAATGATGGCTGCTGGAAAAAATAATCTTTTATGGGATGGATTAGGTCGAGGAAGATTTCCAAATGGGAGACTGGGGGATGACTCTGAGTGAAGTGTTTGTAGTATGGCATGAGGATAGAGAAATGAGGATCCTGGGAGTTCTCTGCTGAGCCAATGTAGCTGGATTGAAGAACTCCAGGTTTACTGGGGGATCTTCCCTCAGAAGTAAGACAGAGAACAATGAAGGAAGACACTGACGTTGATCTGTGGCTCCCACATTAGCACACACACACATAACTACACATACATGTAGATGGAATACAAATCCACACATACACTCCGAATTCTCCCAGATAATTTCTATTATACTACTATAGTTGTGAATAAGAACGTCTGCTTGATGGTACCTTTCCCAGCTCATAGACCTCACCTTTATTCATTTAAAGCAAAGCATTGCTGTTACTCATCCCTTCACACATCTAGAAAATACTGAATGTTTGACAATATGAATATGTTGAACCTCTAAGATTGAAGCACTACTTCTTTTGGTCCAAATACATATAATGGAGTTATTAATAGGTAATCTTCATAATGTATTTCATACCTTTCTTCATGACAAATGTTAGAATTAGAGGGCCACACATCTGTCCGCAATTGAAGTAGAATATTTAGTGAGACCAGGGGATGGCAACAACATTAACCTGGACTATAGACTGCAAAATCAGTGGTGTGGCTGACTGTTTAAATTATAGAATACAGAGGATTCAAGTTGTGCTTAATTCATGTCAGCATGGTTCTTCAGTAGGATTCAACTTTGATGGTGAACAGGGTTAGAAATATTCCCAATTAGAGAGTGATTGCAATACCAATAATCAGTAAT